TGATGCACAACCAGAATATTAAGACTTAAAGAGAGCCGGGCGGTGGTGGCGCATGCCTTTAATCCCAGCACTCGGGAGGCAGAGACAGGCGGATCTCTGTGAGTTCGAGGCCAGGCTGGACGACAGCCTCCAAAACAATACAGAGAAACCCTGTCTCGTAAAAACCAAAAAAAAAAAAAAAAAAAAAAAAAAAGAATTAAAGAGAGATTTTAGGACACAAAAAAATGTTTGTTCTGTGACTTCATGGTGAGATCAGGTAAACTGCATGTAACTTTTAACCTGGTTGTCACAGGGACTTCAGATAACCATAAGAGAAAAGCAGGGAACAGAACACTAACAAGATGATAGGTCTTTCTCCCTTCAGAAGTCTGGATGATGATTCTGTTACTTTAGGCTTTTTCTTCCTGAAATTGTATCAAATTCTTGACTAACAAATAATAGCAAAAAGAATAGTCTTCATGGTAAACTATTTGCAAAAAATAAAGAAAGGAAGAATGCATGTGAAAAACAAACAAAAATCCAGCAGTATTGGTCAAGGTTCTCTACTGAACACAACTATAGAATAAAGTATGTTTGAATAAACATAGAATAAATCTATGTATGTAGAAAGTGAATGTATTACAATGTATCACAGGCTGTGGTCCAGCTCTAATAATGACTATTTACCATGGAAAGCTGATGAATTTAGGAGTTGTTCTGTCCAAGAGTATTGGGGGCCCAAATATGATATTTCGATATGGGCCTCAGCTCAATTCCAGGAGCTTGAATCTCCTATTGTCTTTTAGATGTTGGGTGGTTACCTCCAGATGGCCTGGCCACAGTGGAGGATGTCTTCAAGTTTGTGTAACAATAGACCTAGGCCCCACACCCATCATGAGGGCTAGTGGGATGTGCCTGGGGACTAGTAGGAAGTGCCTGGGGACTAGTGGGACATGCCTGAAGACTAGTGAGACTGTTAAGGAATGCTGTTAAGGAATATCTGAGGGCTTGTGTACATGAGTTCTAGGACCATCTCTAGGGTTAAAGGAAGTGTCTCCTAGTCAGCCCTATATACATGATAATCAGGTATCTTCTCCCCACTTTTGGAAAGCTATTTAAGAGGATGCTTGCATAAATCATGCTCTCCAGTATTAACCGAGAGCCCTCCTGAGATGACATGATGTCTCTGTCTCCTCCTTTACACCGCTAGGACTTCCTGATCCACACTACCCCACTCAGAGTCCGAACCAGGGGCTGTTTGGCTGGTTCTGAACATAGCCCTGAAGACATCAGTCTGGAATAGATGGCCCCTGTAGCTTAGGACTGATACAGGTTGGACCCTGGCACAAGATGTTGGTGTCTCTGTAGTTCCTGATTGTTTATTCAGATTTTCTATTTCCAGCATTACCCCAGTTTGTATCTTTTTCTATTGTCTCCATTTTAGTTTTTCAGGTCTTGAACTGTTTGAATTGTTTCCTTCATCTGTTTGATTGGTTTTTTTCTTGGTTTTCCTTGCTTTATTTAAGAGATTTGTTGATTTATTGTAATTTTTGGTTTGTGTTTTCTTCCATTTCTTTAAGTGATTGTCTCATATCCTCTTTGAGGGGCCTCTATCACTTTCATGAGGTTGTTTTTAAGATCATTCTCTTCTGTTTCATCTGTGTTGGGATGTTCAGGTCTTCTTGGTGTAAAGTCCCTAGACTCTGGTGGTGTCATACTGGTTCTTCTGTTATTGGCTGTGTTTTTCTATTGCTGTCCTCTCATCACTTCTTTCAGTAGGAGCTCATGGGATCTCTTTCTCTCCTGGTGGGTTTAGGTCTAAGGATCTCTTCCAGTTCATTCAAGCAGGTCCAATACTGAGATGGGTCTCATGATGGGTGCAGGTGGGTCTGAAACACTCTCAAGCACAGGGTGGAGACCATAGGGGACTGAAGACTCAGGCTCAGGAAGGGCACCATAGGGGACTGAAGACTCACGCACAAGGCAGTGGCTGGAGCGGACTGAAGATTGATGTGTGGCCAGACTAATGGTGGTCCTTTCTAGCAGAGCAGGTCCTCTCTAGGCACAGAGAATGCCCAGGGAGACAGAAGCAAGGGGATGTTGGGAGTTGGGGCCCAGAGCAAAGACCCCACTCACCTGAATCACAGGGCAGGGACTGGAGGGCACTGAATACTGAGGTGTGGCCAGACTCAAGGTAATCCTTTCTGGAGTGGTGGGTCCTCTCTAGGTGCAAATAATGCCCAGGGAGATGGAAGCAGGGGAATGCTGTGAGTTGGGGCCCAGAGCAGAGCCCCCGCCCACCTCAAGCTCTGGGAATTGGCCAGACTGGGATGAAGGTGTTGCATTCTTCTATGTTGTATTTCTTTAACTATCTGCCTCATGGATTTATTACCTTATCTCTGTAGTGCTTATACTGCTCAGTCTGCATCTCATGACATCTCTGCCTTTCTTCTTCCCAACATCCTGTGTCTGACTGTCCTGCCTATACCTTCTGCTTAGTTAATGGCCATTTATCTTTTTATTAAACCAATAAGAAGGCACCTTGGCAATGACACATTAATCACAGTATACTAAAAGATTATTTCACAACAGGACATAAAATCTTGATTTTACTTGCTAAGGGATTTATATAAGAGGACTTATTAATGTACTTTGCAAACAGAAAAAAAGCTGGATAATGAAAACTTTCTGAATAGAAATATGGGCTCTGGACATCTAGACATCTTTTTAAACAGGGCTTATAGAGTATATATGGTTACAGTCAGTGGGATTTGTGTGTGTGTGTGTGTGTGTGTGTGTGTGTGTGTGTGTGTGAGTGTGTATGGTGTATTGTCAGGGTTAGGTTTTTATTGCTGTGATAAAAATACTAGACAAAAATAAACATGGAAAAGAAAGGGATTTTTTTTTTTGTTTACAGGTTATAATCCCTCATCAGGGGAAGTTCAGGAAGAAACCAAAGGCAGGCACCTGGGAGCAGGCACTGAAGCAGAGACTGTGAAAGAGCATTACTTTCTGGTTTGCTCCCAATGGATTGTCAGCCTGCTTTTTAAAATACCACCTAAGACAACCACCTATAAGGTGGGTCCTTTTCCACCAAAAATTAATAAAAAATACACCCTACAAAATTGCCTGGAGAAAATCTGATGGAGGCATTTTCTCAGTTGTAGTTCTTTTTCCCAGTTAACTCTACCTTGTACCAAATTGACAAAAATCTAACAAAGGCAGGTGTTTTTTTTTTTATTCCTAAGCTTATTTATAGTACAGAATGAGGACAAGTAAGAGCCAGTAGAGCTATCCAAAATGAAAGGCAAGCTTTAAGTCCTTAGAATTCTTACTCAGGATGCTATGGAATGATGCTTGAAAACCAGTATTCTGGTATGTAGGAGAGAAAAAAGAGCAAGGAGTGGTCACCCATTCTGATTTCTGATAGTTAACAAAATATTTTGGATGGCATTTTAGATTTTTCTGTGAAGTTTTAGAGATGTTTTGGAAATTCTCAGTAGCAAAACATACCTGAATTTTGGTAAGGGATTGCAATGCACTGGGTGAATGGGAAGTGAATCCTTTAACTACAAATAAAGTACGACTTTGAAAATCAATAATCTTTAGTTGATATAAAAAAAAAGATGTCCCTTCATCCTCTAAGACTTGCAACTATGGATGTCTACTTTTGCTATAATTAGATGATAGACAATATTAAACTGCCACAATCTCAAGACAGTTTTCATCATTTTAACAACACATTGGAAAATAAATTCCTAGCAGAGACATCTATTCAATGTGTAGCATTCTCCTGGCAAAAGAAGTGAAAAAAGTCCCTCTGTACTCTGTGATGAATAACCGACAACTTGTGATTTATGGATTTGAAGTAATTGAATTTCTTGGCTGTCATGTACTTTGAACAAGAAATATTATATGTTTCCAGAAAGATTACTTAGAGAAGAAAAGAGTGATGTGATGCCAATTTTTGAAATTTTATTTGGTAACAGTGATCCAACAAAATGGAGCTTAAGATATTCTCCCTAAGTTTCTAAAACATGTTTTCTAAACAATCTTTGAAAATATAGTTTGGGACATAAGGTTAAACTTCTTCAGGACCAGGATCTCCACAATAGCTCATTTTGCCTGTCAAACATTGACTGTTACTGAGTTAGTGTAATCTTTCTGCAAGCAGATATTTAAAAGTAGAAAAAAAGAACTATTGATTCTCTAAAGCAAGTTCTTGATTTTACTCTAGGTAGCTCTACCACCACATTCAGTAGCTTGTACTAGTTCTGATAAGTCTGTGGATGTGTTTAATCTATGTAGAATTTTTACTGACTGTGGAAGAACCTGAAAAGGGACTGAAGAAGACATTGAAAACCTAACTGTAATACTTTAGAATGATGATTATGTTGCTTATCCATGTCAGTTCTGAATTTGTGGACACCACTAAAACTGGCTGCACCAAATTGTGTTCAAGAGTTTTCTACATGGTTCTAAATTGGGTAATATTACCCCAACAAGAAAAACATAAATTTGTGTTAAGATACTGCTTGGTTGTTAGAATAACTGATTCATTTTATGGCATTTAGAACATATGAAATGGAAACTAATTGAACTTGAGATATATGTGAGTCTTTAAAATGAGTCATTGCCACACCAAATGCTGATGGCAACTGATTTGGGAAATTCAAGTAGGACATCAGAATTTTCTTTAATTTGTAATCTCAATATTGCCTGTAGTTCTTTATGCCCCTGATGGTGTATACCTTATTTCCTCCAGAATCTCAGGGAGTTTACTTTACTATTTTCTTTTTTCTATATCTTCAATCTCTTCAGCCTCTCTGCATTAGAACATTTTCTCATTTTTTCTATGTCAAATACTCACCTTTCTGAGTTCCATTATTCTCTGGCTCTGACTCCCTTCTTCCTCATTCACAGGAACCTGTTTCTCTGCCAGTGTTAGAACAGTAGTTTCTTTGCATATTTATTGAAAGACACCATTTTTGTACTATAAAGAGAACGAACCTCATAGGCTCTTTAGTTTCAAAGCATACGGTTTTATTCCATAAACATCTGGAGTCATCATACAATGTTTCACTTCAAAACAGCTGTGTGTATATTGCACACATATGCACATACAAATATATTTTTAAATTTCCAATAAAGCCGGGCAGTGGTGGCGCACGCCTTTAATCCCAGCACTCGGAAGGCAGAGGCAGGTGGATCTATGTGAGTTCGAGGCTGGGCTGGACTGACAGCCTCGAAAACAATACAGAGAAACCCTGTCTTGTAAAAACCAAAAAAAAAAAAAAACCAAAAAAATTTTTTTCATTTTATATGTAAGGCATACTCCACATCCGTTTTACATATATTTCCTAATTTAGTATCACATTATATTTCCTCAAGGGTAGGTATGTACTAAAACTATGATGTAGGCACTAATGTTTTTTATTTCTTTTCAGTTTTTTTTGTCAAGATTAAAATTTCAATCACTTGCATAATGTCTTAACTTCCCCCACTTATCTCAAGAACTACCTAATAACCCAAGTAATAATTCCAATTTGAGTCATGAAAATACTGGTTTGAAATCACTGCTGTTTAAGATGTGTCTAGAATTGAACACACACACACGGTGGAATATTTAGATAACTGAGGTGTGTGTATCTCTTTTCAATTGTGTTTCAAAGCAGTGATAGCCTACATTGATCTTTTAATATGTGATTTTAAAATAAATCCAAAAGGCATTAAATGTATTGATGTATCTTGATGCTGTATGTCACAACATGTCTACAGAGAAATGCTACCAAAATTAGAGTCAGTGGTTTCTTCTCTAAAGATGAAGCTACCTAATGTATCAATTTGTTAGAACCATATATACACATGACTTCTGCATTTTGCAGTTTAGATATTTAGTGGCAAATATCATGCCTATATGTGGCATAAAATGAATAGTGATGATGCTTAATCATTATTGAGATTGAATCTATGGACATTATTTGTAATATACCAGACAAAAGCATCCAAACAAGTGGGGAAGAGTAAAAACTATGCCCAAAACAAATAGGGACCAGTTATTTCTGTTCGGCCATAATTTTCTAAGGAGTTTATCTCAACAGGGTGAATGATGATTTTGTCAAAGTCTCATGGTACCCTTAGACAAAATTATTGCTGTTATGTTAGCACAATGAAAACTCCTGTCTTGCTTGTGATTATAATGTATTCTTATACTGAGCACTAAATATATCAATTTAACTGTGATTAAATAACTCATAAAAATGAGTTGAAATTTGTTTAGCTTTGGGAAGTAACAAAAATATATAATGCATTGTTACTTATTTAAAAATATTATTTTGTATGTTGTCACAGATTAATTTTCAGAAATATCTCAAAGACCATTTACTCATTTATACATATTGCTAGTTGCTATTTTAATATTCCATTGTGGAAGAGAAGAATTGAATCTAGCTATATGAATGTCAGTTTATCTTTCAATTTTCTTATAGTGAGAATACCTTTGGATGCTTTGAATATATGCTTTCCCAAACATGACCAGTCTATATTATTTCATATTAATCATTAAAGGACACAAGACATTTAAATAAAATATAGCAAAGCTAGTGGTCACTCCACTTAGGGTGGTAAATCATCTTTCCTTCTATATAATTTAATTTGACTGAAAATTATTTGAAAGAAACATATCAGAAATAATCATAAATAATAATTTTTGTTTATAAGTGCAGAGTTATATGATTGAAGTTGTATTTATAAATCAATACTAACAATTACTTTTACGTAAACACCATAATCACTGTAAAATACTCCAAAACTAAATAATTTATATTTATGCTTCAATATTCAAGTAACTCAGCTCCATATATGTAAGCCACAATTCTATCTACCCACAATATATTTAACAAAAAGAAGGAAATAGAGTAAAAATTAAGTATGTGACCTTGTGTGCTTAGAAACCTTTGAGCAATGGCCTAACTATAACTGGTAGAATACCCCTCATACCATCACAATTTCTTTTCTATTACCTTTTTACATTCATGTAGCTATAAATATATGCTCTGTGTATTTTCTATATTTACAGTATATATACACCTATGTATAAACACATACTTTATTCTTAGCTTCTTTTATGAACATGCAGATGAATCTGCACAGCATAATGAAAACATTTAATTTCCTTACATTATATTTTCACTTGTTCAAAAGTGCAAAAATATCATACAGATCAATATTCTTTCACTAAAAATTACCTTTTATGCTGTACTTTTTGTAATTTACAAATAAATTATGAAATACAATTTACTCACAAATTGAAATTAATTATAATGTTGTTACAAGGCATTACTTGAAGTCATTTGTCTTTCAAAACAAAGACATCAGTAATTATTTTTAGTTCTTGATTAGAATATGCAATTACAATTCTAAAGCTCATGCTAGTCAAATGCTGCTTGTGTATAGTATTTATCAATGCTGTTCCATTTATTGTTCTGGAAGAGTCTTCTTCAGAACAACTTGTCAGTCTGCTGAAAAGACTAAGTTACAACATTTCTGTAAAGTTTTCACCCTATATAAAAGTCTGGAGGGTAAATGAGGCAAATTTGAGAAGGAATAATTTTAGTGGATGCTCAGCAAATGCAAGAAATGTTTTGATTGCTGCTCCCAGGCCTTCAGACTCTCCTGATTCATGAACAACCTGAAAAATGTTCAGTCTTTAAAACATTGATTGTACTCTTCCATTAAATATCAGTTGTGGTCCTCCATTACTCATGTTGTCAGTCATTTCCTGTTAGCAAAATAATATGAGTCAATTAAAACTCGCTTTCATAGTCAGATATTGATATGCTTAATAGAAAAACAGAGATTACAAGTCACTGAAAAACATTTTGGGGGGAAGGACAATGAGTGATACTGTTACTGTAATTTAGGAAATGAAATTTCACGGCATCTTGAATCATATGAAAATGTTGAAGTGACAGCCAAGACTTACATACAAAAATCAGTTCACTCTCTTACCACATGCCCAAGTTTCTCCCTTTTTCTTCAACTCACTTTTGGAAGGAACTAACCTAGAATGAACATGCCTGAATGATCAGGTTTTGCCAATACACAGCTCCTCTGTGAATCACATCAACAAAATTTCAACATATTCTGCAGGTGTTTATAGAAAAATAAAAAATGTGGTTCCTTTTGTTTATGAGCTGAAAGACATTCACAGTGAGAATGATATTTGTTTGGAAAAGGATTTAAAAATGTAACCTGGACTGACATTAAACTTGAGTGTACAGTTGTTTTGAACTTGCAAACCTTCTGTCTTAGCCTTCTGAGTGTTGAGATTCTGGTTGTAAACCATCATGCCTATCCAGGAAAATTGTATATAATGACACTATAATTTATATAGTATAAAACTACTTGGGCAATGAAAACTTGAGACATGTTTTTAATGTACTCATTACTAAGAAAGTAACAGGGAGTTATGATTATGAAGACATGGATATACAGACATGAAAAATAAAGTAGTAAAAAGAATTCCATTTGCAATTATAGCAAACATTTAAATAAATTTTAGATGATTTTAATTCATATAGTTCATTTATTTTTGTTTGTTTGTTAGGTTGGTTAGCTGATTTTGAAACAGGATCTCATGAAGCACAGGCTTAATATACATTTCTATGTATCTGGGGATGGCCTTGAATTTATAATCGTCTTGTTTCCACCTTTGCAACTGTAGAAACCCAGAAATGTGTTACTTGCCTGGTCTACAAGATGCTCGAGATGCTAGGTAACCACTCTACCAACTAGGCCAAATTCCCAGCTCCTATTTGTTAGCTATGAAGCCTTTCATTACAGAAGAAGCCATGAGATCACAGGCATATTCACATTTATCATAGTATATAGTATTATAAATAATATATTAGCATATAATATAGGCATGTATTAGCAAATTGTCTATTATCCATCAAGTTGTCTTTCTGAATAGCAGCAAATACATTTCAAGTGAAAACTACTGTTTTCATAGTCTTCTGCTTGCTACTTATTTCTGTTTTGTTTCTGTTGTTTCTAAGGATGAGCACAGTGAAAGTAGTTCTGGAAATGTAGGGGTCATTGGGCTGGTGTTAAGTTTATATAATAAAAAACTGAGTAATGGCAAGATTAACCAAACTCAATTCCCAAAATTATCATTATAAAATTTAATGAAGCACATTTTCTTATTTATTCTGCTAGAAGAGAAAGAAAACTACTTGGTAAATGCATAGAAATAAAAATTTCAGCTCTCTTTTCCATTCCCTAAATGACTGCAAATGAAAAAAAAATAAAGAAAAATTGCCTAAATAACATAAAATTAGAGTATTGATCTTTTAGTGTAAGATTTTAAGAAAAATATTTTCTAAAATCTTACAAAGTCAAGAATATTCTTAACTAAAGTCACTCAAACTCAGACACAGTAAAATTACTGATAGAAAATAATAGTGAAGGTTAGTTTTAAATGGATGAGTCTCACCATTTTATTTACAAATTGGCTTTTTCAATTTACTAAGACCTTACTCCTAATTCAGGCAAGAGCAGACTTGATTATTCATGAATAAATATATTTCCTTCAAATGAGATGCAAATGTAACTTCCTGTATTTCCACTTAGGCTCTTTGGCCAAACCAAGAGCCTTGACTATTGTTAACAAATGGAAATATGGGAAATGTAGTATATCAGATAATTTATGAACAGAAAACTTACATACAAACATTTTACTATATTAATGTTAAACTTTAGTTTTCTGTTTATCCAATAAATTGTCTCTACAAAAACACACAGTTTTTCTTTACCCAGACTCATCTATTATTAAAATCAAAAGTCTCATCTGTGAATGATGACACTGAGGCAGAACTGTGATGCAGCAGAGAATACAGAGAATTATGAATCATCCAAGCAGAACTGTGCTTGCATGCTTAGAGGCAGGCTGAATATTTGAAATACTCAACCAAGTTTGAAGCTGTAAGATTCTGCCATGTAGGTTATGTCTGCTCCTCAGAGTAGTCCTTCTAAAAAGGCTACTTTGAGGAACATACAGCATCAGTTCAGACTGATCCGCTGACATCATGGCTTTCTAATAGAGGCAGTGCTTCCTATAGCAACATTACAACATGGTAACTCCCTAGAAGTCAGCGTACCTTGTAGGTAACTCTGGTGTCGGGGGCACCACCGGGCAGCTGGGCAAGTCGGTTATTTCAATAGCCCTCAATCTCTAATATAAATATAACAATTATACAATAAATATTGAACAAATAAATACAAAGAAAAGCTAAGTAATACTAGCATACAAATATAACATAAAGGATCCGCCATCAAAATATGCAATTATCTTCCACCTTAATTTTCTATTTTAAAATTAATAGTTTTTTCTAATGTAATCTCAATTCTTTTGTTTTAAATTACATGTACAAAATGTCAAAAATTACTTCCTTGGGACAGTTAATGAAAAATTCTTCTCCTTATATATAGATAGTATATGAAATGAAGACAGATGAACTACAAAATAAATATTTGTCAACTTTAAAATAATATCAAAGAAATATGAATAACTCTTGATACTATTTCTTTTATGCTATGACTGTACAATTTTATTTTCAAGAAATAAATCAAAGTATAATTTTCCTATTATCTAGTGAGTTGATTTTTACAGTTGTTATTTTTTCTTCAATAGATGGAGTAACAGGAAGTGAATTTTGAAATGTATAGCAAATGTAAGTGAAACACACAGAGCTCTTTCTATACTATTTGTTCTTTAATGCAGCTAATACAACTTTCTGTTTGAATAGGCTTCATAAAACAATTATACAAGCAACACTGTGTAAAATACAGGCAAAGTGATCCAAATATGCATGAAGTGTAGATGAGAATTCAATGAAGCTTTATTAGGGTTGTAATATCTGCACTGATAGACAATGCTTTTTGTCTCTTAACTAAAGAGCCTCTTTTATGCTTGAGGACCAAATTTCCATAATTAAACACATTTACTTTATAAGCACAAATGATGTACTGAAAAAGAGAATCATGTGATTTCTAAAGAGGGCATTATTAAGTGGAGGCTGTATTTAGTTTATGTTTTTCCTCAGAATAGTACATGAAAATCCATATTTATAAGGTGCTTAATATTTTATGAAATGCTATTTCAGGAGTCATGGTTTTGAGTAGACAAAGGCTACAAAATTCTGCTTAAAATGGCTGTGCTTATTAATTGCAGAGAGAAACTAATTAAAAAAACTTTTCTTAACCTGATAGGGTCAAACTTACAAAATGTGATTCCCAACTTGTGATCTAAGCTTGTACATTGATTCACCTAGACTGTAGTGTTCATCACATGGCAGCAGTGTGAGGCAGAATGACAAAACTCACTTTCTCAGCCATTTCATGAGAGTGATGCAGGGAATGTTCCCTTTCTGAGAACATTCTCCTTTGCTCATAGCTGGCTAGACGGCAAGTGAGCCAGGAGGACAGAGTGCAGCCCCCAATCCCAATACACGCCAAAGACATGGAAGCAAGGTGCAGTGGGTACACAGATGAGGTCCTCTTTGTGACCGCCCGAAGAAACTGAAAATTCAGGATGCCTCCAATAAGTCCACAGATGCAACAGGCTGAAAAGAGTATCATCTGAGAAGAAGAAGAAAGAGGGTATTAACACGGAGCCTTGTGATGCTGCAGGCCAAGGATGGTAAACCTGCAATGAAGAGGATGTGTTCTTTTTGATTATAAGGAGGTACACCAGGTGTGCCTGTCAGTGGAGACTCCACTCAGACTAACTGCAGAGGAAGTACATCATAGAACTTCTAAAACAGAATCAATGATATATATATATATATATATATATATATATATATATATATATTGGCTTTTGGCTTTTGGCTAGACCCTGATGAAAATAATACCTATCTCTGATATGCATGCTTTTGTGAGAGGAGCAGGAATCATTTTCCTGATCCCTCCCAGAGGTCCTCTGCAAGAAGCACTAATACAATGTGGAAGAATGAGTGATGATCAAGTCAGATTCTCTGACTTAAATTCAGTTTCATTCTGTTATCTTTTCTAAGTATCCAAGTATCCATAACTTTCTACCAAGGTGAACTTGGGAGATTTAGCTCATTCTTTTTTTCTCATTACTTTTTGTGTTTCCCAAAATGGGCAATTTAGGAACTTTCCATAACTTGGCCCAGCATTAGTCAAATCTTTTGTTTCCCTGTGACACCACAGTGAATATTACACAGTAGCTGTTTGAAAAGTGTTGCTTGATTGTTTTGAAGGAATACAGAGCATGGCTTTTATTGTTGATCTCATTACTGACTTAATATGGATCTCTATTCATAGGGATAAGATATTAACTCAATCTAAAGAGGACCCTTGGCAACAGTAATATACTTTCTGTATTTGAAATATTCTGTGAATACTTAATAGATTTAGTTGACTCTTTAAAGTACTTTATAATAACTTTATTTGATTTAAGCAGATGGTCTAAATTACCCTATGATATTTAATCGATCTTTTGTAGGGTGATACTAACTTATTATCCACTCACATTTCCATTTTCTGGAGCATAGTAGCCAATTACACTCCTCTCCCCAGTTCATAGGATCAAGCAGGACCACTCATATACTATGCAAGCACTCTACGACTGTGCTATACCACCAACAAACCTTTCTTGACAGTTGATATGCCACACACATGTCATAACAAGGACATTTATAGTGTCCTGGAAATAATTTTGATTTTTTCTTGGACAACTAGTAGTAAAAAGTCATAGCTGTTTCAAAAGGCATTCCTAGGTATTGATCTCATCTGTTGTTTTAATTCTTTAGTACAAACAGCTTTATATCTTACTTAGCTTGTTTTTCTACATTATAATAATATATTGTTTGCTGTCAACAGTCAGCAGAGTTTGACAAGTAATTTTTGAGTACTGGCGCCAAGTGAGACAGCTTTGGTATTTGTGTTTTAATACCCTTGAGTGTATTAAGGTTTAACATATTAAGCATGGCATGGTCAATATCAAATGAGAGAGAGAGAGAGAGAGAGAGAGAGAGAGAGAGAGAGAGAGAGAGAGAGAGAGAGAAAATAGGTTGCTTTAGGAATATAGAGAGGAAAAATTTATCAAAGTAGCATTGTGAGCAGTTTCCTTGAGTGAAGTTCCAAGAGAGGGCCAGGCCATGAATTCATGAAACAGTACTAAAAAAAAAAAGATTGACAGGCAAAGATTTCTACCAGCCCAGTCATTTGCTTCATTTCTCCAACTTAATTCTGCCTTATTTATTGTACTTATATCATGATACTTATCATCAGGGCTAAAAACTCAATGATAAAACAATAAAATCTTTGTATATCAGATTGAATATAATGTCAAAAATTTATTACTAAACCACAAAATTTTCCACTTAGTGGCAGTGTGTATTTTAAAAGTTAAGTAGAATCAACCAGTTGCATCCTATTTTAAATGATACTCACTTGCCTTGCAGTTTCTTCAGTATAGTACATATTTTGGTGCTTACTCATACAAAGATAATATTAAATGATCATACATTCTAGCCTTCAACTAGTAAATGAATACTAATTTTAAAAATAGATGAAATATTTATTTTTACAGGAACACCAATGTGTCTGCTAATGCTATTCTCAGTGTCTTTAATAGTTAATGATACTGCATTGATATGTGTTGGCAGAATATTGTCACCTATGAATTAAAGTATTAGAATTAATGCCCAGGTTCTTAATAATGTACTATTTCAAACGCCGTTAGGCAAAGGATTCTAGACTGAAGAGATATTAGTAAAGAAGACATGTAAAACATTTACCATACAACTGGAAATCCTTGGGACTATGCACCAATTGTGGATTTCAGAAAAAAAGCAGGAAGATAATGCACTGTCTAATGGTAACTACATCTAGCATTTACATGGAAACTTTGCATAAAGGTTACCTTTATAACTTATAAGAGAATTAGAAAGACAGTGAAGACATACATCTTAAAATTAAATCATCCCCTCTCCTCCATCCATGCCTTCCATTCATTTTTGTCTTCTTTTAATTTCTTCTCCAAACAAGCTGTTCCAACACAACCATAACAGGTATTGATAGTTAAAAAGTATATAAAGAATAAAGGCCACACCTAAAGAATGATGGGAGAATTATAGATGTCAACTAGAAATATAAACATATTTCCTCAAACGTTCACATTACCTTCAAATGTTTAACAATTATACTACACACGACTGTCATAGTGAATGCTTCATTTGTCTTCCCTAAATAGATATCATCACAAAGAAAGACATTAGAGAAATATGGAAGATGAGCATGACTTGGAGGATCCTTCCTTACTGCTCTGCTTGCACACCTGACCTTGTCATTGGAAAACTTACTTTGAGTTCAAAGAACATTCTCCATAGTTCTTGTGTAATTAAATTTACCAATTAGTAAAAATTTATGCCTTTTCCTTCTTTTCAACTCTCATAAAATGCCATAAGGGCAGAAGGGAGTCCACACTTCAGTATGTAGGGCTCCCTTACAGCCAGTATCGGAGTTAACAGGGAGCACGTTGCCTACCCTAGAATCCTTTGATAGTACAACAAAACATCTGAAAATGATTATATGCGTATTCACAGTAATAAAAATGTATTAAACAAATATTAAAAATGAATTAACTGCAACCATAGAACCACAACTGTCTTGGTGCTTTGCAAAATTAGCTTCTTAGTCATAAAATGTAAGCAGTCCTTAGGCCCAGATCCATATTTAACCATTTCAATTTCCCACAGAATAAGTTTTATGTTTACTAGCTGCCTGAAGGACCCAGGTGGTTGCTTGGAAGTCTCTAAATGGAAAAATGTAAAGACTCTCCTGCATAGCAAACATTAAAGTTTGAATATTCAAGTATTTAAGGAGTGTATAAAAGCTTTTCAGGGACTTTATTTTTTTTCTTATCTCTAATATTCTTGATAGCTTTCTTTGAAACAATAAGCCCAAGATTTCCTTCTCAGTTTCTCTCAGAAATGACTCAGAGATTAACACTGACTGCTCTTTCTGAGGTCGTGAGTTCAATTCCCAGCAATCACATGCTGGGCACAACCGTCTGTCATGAAATTTGGTGCTCTTTACTGGTATGTAGGTGCACATATGGCCAGAACACTATATACATAATAAATAAAATCTTTAAAAAAGTATAGGGTACAAACAAGGCAAAAACTTACAACAAGTCCTGACTTTTTTTTGGCACATAGTATTCCACATATGCCACAAAGAAGAAACTGCAAAAGAAAAAAAGAATTATTATATTTACATAGAGAGGAGAAGCTTAGATTTTTTTAACTCATTATAATTCATTCATGGCAATTGCTCCCAGGAAGCATACATATTTCAGATTACTATCAAAACAAACAAACAAAAAACTTGTAGAATATCAAAGGCTAACATTTATTCATTTATTGTAAAAAATAATTGTGCGACTTAAGCAAAACTTAAATCAGTTTGTCACCAGGAAGAAAATGTGAAGTAAACAAACTCAAATTCTGTTCCTCTTGTTTCATTTAAATGTCATTTCCCTTTCTATTTTCTCAGAGACAAACATGTTATCTACATTCATTCATAGTAAGCACTAGGACCTCAATAAGTTATTACGTGGATAGAAAGAATAATCCAGATAAAATTATAAGAAATCAAACAAGGGACCATCCTCCATATAGATATTATTCATATTTCTCATTTTGAGACAATGATTCCATCATTCTGACAGAAAGACTGCCTCTGTGGACAAGTCCAAAGAACCCAAACAGATGAATAAACTAACGGCATACAATTTCATATACATAAGAAACTGGCTACAAAGCTGTTTCGCAGAATCAATTATGTTAAATCATTTACCCATGATAAATATATTTTGTGTCATTAAATAATCAAGAGTTTAATTTGTATAGAAATATTTAAGGTTGTTTGAATACAAATTTGTTTATACTTTAGTAGGGCTAACATTGTAGTTAAAATAATTAATAAATAAATAATAAGAAAACTAATATTTTTCAAATCTGCTAAGAAACTCTCTTCCACTTGATTTTTAATTTTTTGTTGTTTAATTCCTGTGATTCACATAGTGGAAAAGAATAACCAATTTCTTCAGGTTCTTTTCTGATGTTCATATGTGTAAATACCACACACACACACACACACACACACACACACACACACACACACACAAATTACATAAATAAATGTAATAAAATTTTCAAAAATTCTCAAGTCATACTAGTTTCAAATAAGTATTTTTTATCTGGACATATTTTTACAAAATACATACCACATATTCTAATTCTCCCCTGAGATAATGTGAATGTGAGGAATATATTGAAAAACAATGGGCATGGGAAACTTCTGTGAAAGGACTCTACCATAAGAGAACAAGGCAGTTATAAACCAGGTAGTTGACCCAAACTCCAGGAATCCAGTTGTAGAGATCCCCTGAACGTGGGTGTCAGTTAGGAGGCCTGGGAAATCTATGGGGCCTCTGGTAGTGGATCAGTATTTATCCCTAGTATAAGAATGGACTTTGGGAACCCATTCCAAATAGAGGGATACTCTCTCAGCTTAGACACTGTGGGGGAGGGCCTAGGCTCTGCTCCAAATGATGTGACAGACTTTGAAGATCCCCCTCCCATGGAAGGCCTCACACTCCCTGGGGAGCAGAAAGGGGATGGGATAGGGAGTTTGTGGGGGGCAGGGGAGGGATAGGGAATTGGGATTGACAAGTAAAACAAGCTTATTTCTAATTTAAATAACACACACACATACACACAAAGACACACAGACACACACAAAACAGATAGTATGTAGCAAGAGAAGGCAGTGAGGAGAGGATACATAAAAATTTGGTAAAGAACTTAGACAACATTTCAAATTACCAGGAACACTATAAGGATCATTTAATTCATCAAATAAGCTAGATAATCTTTCCAAATATCTTATAGAAATATTAACATGGAGTAATTTTAGTGTTTATATGTACATTTTTTGGAAAATCACACAGGAGAAATTAGTATAGTTTCATAAATTCAGAGAACTAAGAAATATTTTCTGAGTTTAAAACCAATGTCATGCTCCCAAATGTACCTTGGCCTTTTGTAGAGTATTTTGTACTGTTTCTATGCTACAGGCTTCAAGCTTATGCTCAAGCAATTCTAGTTTGGACAACTTAAGGATTATGTTCATTTTAGCTTCCCAAATTTTAGATCAAAGTATAAGCATGTCCTTCTCTTCAAATTTCACTAACTAATCTGTTATTCAACTGGAAGTCAATTCACCCAAATTCACTCTTCAAATAATTGGTAGCAAAGCAGTTTTGTGTTCCTTGGTTTGTCTTTAAATCTATATATACTGTCATTATTTGATTACAGCAAAGCTTAGAGGGCCAGAGATGCATGAAGAGAATTTTCTATTCCAGGTACTTGGTTAGGACATCTAGATCTGAAGAAATTTCTTCTTCCCACTTCACTTGGATGGAGCTAAGGGCTTGGGGAGGGAGAATGTAGAGTAGGAGAGAAGTTAGGAAACATTTTAGACTGATCTTTAGTTGAGTATTTAAAATACCTTCTGTAATAGTTATTTTAGTTATAGTATCTAAAATAATGGAAATTTGAAGTGCAGTTGAAGAGCTCTTGGCTTAAACTTAGTCATCAAAATCTATAGAGAAGGGTATCACCTCAACAAAGTAACCAACTTACCTTTTATTCTATTGTCTATCTTTATTTACAGCAAGCCATGGCATTGAAAGGGTACTTCACAGATGGTCTAATCTAGTCTTGGTAGTTTACAGATAGGGATCTAGAGAACTAGAAGGCCATACAAGTTTATCAGTGCTCTAAAGCTCACACATGCAATCAAAGTTTTTCTAAGTGTATGTTATTCTGTTTATAATTATTTACTGGAAATGATTTTCAAAAAGAGGTTTTAGAGTGCACATAGTATGTATTACACTACCAAAACACCTGCTCACCTATAAGGATACTCTTTGACCTTATTTATCAGTGTTAACATTTGCTGTAATAAAATGAGTGAAAGTTATTAATTGTACTATAGTCTAAACTTCAATATTATTCATCACTTTATAGGTGCATTTGCTAATTTGAAGTATTTTTTGTAAGTACTTTATCCAATATTCTCATCACAGAAATTCTTAAGTTAAAAAGTTGATGGTAGTCAGGGGTGTGTGTATTTGTGTGTGTGTGTGTGGTATTTGTTTGTAGGTACACTCGTGCATGCAGCTTGAATAATACACATGATTTTACTAGAAAAATATTAAGTGAAGGGAGGGGATTTTGTTTTCTTTTTGCTATGAAATAAAAGTGATACAGTAACCAAATGATAAGCTATCAAGTACTATACTATGAAATTAAATGAAGTAGAGGCATCTAAGGTCATCAAACAAAGTGAAACTATTGTGAAATTAGCATTCTATGTTTTATATGAGTAGAACCTTCTATGAAAGGACCATAGAAAATTTTGCTTTTGTTTGTGGTATAGAAACAAGCAAGATATAATTTCCACTCCAATATGCTGTCAGAATGACAGCTTTTCTAGAGCCCACTTGAGAACTAAGGTTCTAAAACAATAAAAACAATTTGATCAAAGGATAGGCAAAGTCCTCCAAAAAAGAAAAAGCCAGACTGTCACTTGTTGCAGAACATGGAATATATAAAATCACAGGTATCCAGTGTGTGTGTGTGTGTGTGTGTGTGTGTGTGTGTGTGTGTGTGTGTGTGGTGTGTGTGTGTGTTTATGTACAACACTGTTTCTTTCTTATTCCTTCTCTTTTAAGAAACAATATCCATAAGTACTAGAAGAAGACTAGCAAAGCCTTTCAATTTTCATGGCATGTATAAGCATAGATGCCAAATATAACTAGGAAAAAATGTATAAGAAAAAGTCTTCACCCAAGGAAGGTAGGAATCCAATTTAGACTAACATCCTATCTCTGGACCCTAGGCCACTGACATTGGAGATTAGTGGTAACATTGGGTTACTCACTATCTGGAGGAAGAACCAACCACAGGTCTTGAGAAATAGAATTTGAAGACTATGGCATCTCAAAGATAGTCATAAGAACAAAAATGTCATTTCTCACTAGAATGATTCTTTTCATATAAAAACTTAAATTAACATTAAATAAAACACAGAATTCTTAATATAAAGATCTCAAATTTTGAGCCAAACCATCTAGCAAAACATATTCAAACATCAGATTTGTGAGAATGACGTCACATTTGTCCAAGGACATGGTAATAGATCTAATTATAGAGGTGATGAGGCAGTCTAGACTTAAGAATGACCATTAATATTATTTCTCACTCTACATTAATTGCTTCAGATAAATAGATTTGCATGAAAGCTGAACAGAAGATGTGCTGTCCAGAAAACAGGAGAAGCCCATGTTTCTTCCCCCAATTTGCAGAACTAAAAACTGAGCTAAATACTTAAATAACCATTACTGTTTTACACAGTTAAAAAATTAGTTATTTTAAAGAAGTACAGAAATGTTATCAAGAAAACAAGAAATGTTAAAAGCTATAAAATTTATTAAACATAGTCCAGTGCTGGTCAGGGGCTATGTTTCCTCTGTAACTGGGTTGGAAATTGTATAAATTGGTCACTGTTGGCTCTTAAATAATTTTACTATACTTCAATCATTTCTCAGTTAAAAATGAGCACTATTAACTCTATTAAAATGATTACTTTGGAGGTTTACATATAAAATTCACATTTTAACAGTTTTCTTTCTTGCCATTGTGCTTATATGATTAGGATACTGTTCCATAAATCCTGGCTAGACACAGACCCATAATCCTCTGAACTGGAGCTTATTCATTTGGGGTTGCATTTATTTAATGATTCTTGTAAAACTATTTGTATAAAATGTACAACAATCTGGAAAACCTTTCCAAAGTCAATGGTTCTAAAGTTTGTCAGCAGCTTAATTAAAACATATTGGGAATTGACCATTGGAATGTTGAGTGGAATCAGGTGTCAGCACTTTTCAATCTTTCCAGGTGATTCCTGAATATAGTATGGACCCAAGAATCACATAACCTAAGAATCACATGCATAACTAATTGTGCCTTGCTTACCAGTGAACCAATTTACTTCAGCTTGTATAGTAGCAACAGCACTATGATTACTTTCAGAGAGATATGGAAAAGCATGAAGGCCAAATTAAGGGCTCTTCACTGGAGAAACATTGTCTAAGTTATAACATAAGTCCAAT